CCACTTACAGCACATACAGTATGTACAGCGCTGGCAACTGAAATCCGACCCCTGAGCGGTGCGCTCACATCGCAAAGACCCAACACGCGATAGTAAAACTACGAAAATAAAGACCGCTAGAATGTGAACTCATCATTTCAGTTGCCAGCACTGTACGTACAGTCAACTTTGCTAATAACGACTGCGGATATAACGACAATTCGCTAATAACGACTGCGGATATAACGACAATTCGCTAATAACGACTGCGGATATAACGACAATTCGCTAATAACGACTGCGGATATAACGACAATTCGCTAATAACGACTGCGGATATAACGACAATTCGCTAATAACGACTGCGGATATAACGACAATTCGCTAATAACGACTGCGGATATAACGACAATTCGCTAATAACGACAGAATGTCCATGCCCAGAGCACAGTCACATCCAACTGTAATACATAATAATGGGACTTCGGGTATAACGACACTTTTCTGATGCCCCGCCGAGTGTCGTTATACGCGAAGTTGACTGTACATGGAAGGCGGAAGGCAGTCGTAGCACAGCACTGTACCACCTGCTAGATGCTGAGTGAGGGCATGGCGGGCAGATCACCAGTCCACGGCGGTGTATTGTACATACCAGTAGTACAGAGCTGCTCAGTGAAATCCAGTCGCGTCACTCGAGTGCGCGCCGGGGGCGTTGCGCAGCCCTAGACCTGCAAACTGCAAACACTGGGCTGCGAAATGGTGCAAGGCCTCCCTCCATATTGCCATTATTGGCCTATATTCTCTGGCCACGGGAAGGTGAAAAAATAAAAAAATAAGGCGCACACGTGACTTGAGTGATGCGACTGGATTTCATTGAGCAGCACTGTTCATGCGTAGTTTATGTTCATACTCATACAAGCAATCACGCTATGACGGTGTCTTGGCATCCGGCGGTGTGCACTGGTATTTTCTTACACCACTGCTTAGCATACGTGCATTCCAACTCCTAATTTCCAAAGAATTCAAAGGCTAGCTGTTTATCAAAGCTGGATACAAAGATGATAATTATCATTTAAGAAGGACTGATTACACTGAACCCTAAGCTCCTGTTTCACTTGTTCCTGTCTTTCGTCTCGCAAGGGTTTCTGATCGTACATGTTCTGAAACGTTTCTGGCAATCTGCTAATGTTCTTGAGTGCGTTACCGATTTGTTCTGCGCTGGAACATGTTCTCAGCCATCGTTAGGCGAGGAGGGCTGGTGTGTTTCTTGATGGTGGTGTCCGTTTGCGAATATTCCGTCAGAGGTGTTCGAGTGACGCCATGGCATGGAGGCCGAATGGAGCAAGTAAGAGATCGTCGTTATCCTGTGTCACACGTCGTCCAGCTCACAACCCGGGTCAATTCACACGTCACATCTGTGGTGGAGGAGATATGCCCGAAGTCCAATGACCCTGACAGCACTGCAGCGCTTGGCGTAGCGCCCAGGAACTGCACCGGCGCAGGCTCCATGGCCTGGTTTCCGTGTGCCTTTAAGCACATGGGAAATCGTATCTTCAAGCGGGCTTGCTCGGGCCCCAAGAGAAAGCGAATTTTGAATACATGCACGATCGCAACCTTCACTCTGCCGCTGCTTGAGAGCGTGGTCATCGATGCGTTCAGAAAGCGAAAATCTCCAGTCAAGTACGCTTGCCCGGACAAGTTTGCCGACTCACGCGAGTTCATGATAGCCGGCGGAAGAACGTACATGCAGCATTGCCACCTGCAGAGCCTTCTCTCTCCCGATCAGTGTCAGACACCGTCGGGTCGTTGCGCCATTCTGGAGGACAATGAGTGTGTGCTACATTGGCTGGCTAAGACGGCCCTGCACGCCACATCCTATCTCGACGACACGAGCGCCGAATCGGCGAGGGCTCATCGCAAGGTTCATTGCTGGGAGCCGGAGATGCAGCGCGCAGAGCAGCTCTTCACTGCACGGGGACGATGGGATGTGAGTGATCGGTGCTTCTCCACCATGGAGAGCATCGCCCAAGGAATGATTACTGAGGTTCTGCGTACGCTGTGCACTGAGATAAGGCGAATGTACAACAAACACAAAGAGCCTGGCACTAGCCACCGACCCAGTAGCCATCACCTTCAGCTAATGTTTGAGCGCTTGCCACTTTTCTACGAAGTCGGGTGGGCATCCATTCAGTCCTTATTCATCAAGCCCGCGTTCAGACGCTTTCGAACAACGGTTAACAGACGTCGGCAGGCCGGGGTCAACACGACCGTCTTCCGTTGTGACGTCAGCACTGCGAGCAGCCGTGACGCGATCAAGATGGCGGCGCTCCAGTTCATGCGAATGCTGATCATCAACGAGCTGCGGGCCAGCGTGTATCGATATCGCGCTCTGGTGATCGCCTCCACTCTTTTCATGGTGCTGCCATGTAGTTTGAATGCTGCCTTATCGCGCAACGGGCTACGACACTAAACAATCGAGACCATCTAGGGCAAAGCTAAATTTCAGCACACAGTGCACAAGGTAATGTACATCAAGTCATCCAACAGCTTTTCCTGACTATGGGTTCAATGTGTCGGAAGCTCACTCACATCTCGCGAGCCCAATTCTCATGAACTCTTTTGCGAGCCTCCTTCGAATAAGATGGTGTTTAATTAATATTAGTTTTTAGTGTGGCTCAGAGAGTAGTAAGTCATTCTGTTTAGAGAAACTCACACACTGTCACACTGTTGACTTTTGGCACCCTCAGCAATTCGCCTTTATCAATTGCACTGGTGAACCTGGGTCGAAGACCCTCCCAAAAATTAATATTCTCACTTTCATTCCTTTCAACTCGGATACTGAGCCAATAAATAATAATTAAAATAGAAGAAATCACATGGAAACGAGTTATGAAGCAATTATCCACGACTGTAACAAGATAATAAGCAGTCAGAACGTGCGATAAGCCGATAACAGGGCACAAAACTGACTTGTCAGGTTGTTGAATGTCACAGTAACATGTCAGTTTTGTGCCCTGTTATCGGACTTTCAAACTGCTTATTATCTTGTTGCAGTCGTGGATAGTTGCTTCATAATAAACTCGTTTCCATGCGATTTCTTCTATTCATTCCTTCCTTTGCCTTGATGTGTGTTTAGAATGAGTTCGCAGTTCATCCTTTGCTGTCAATCCTTTCACCCAAATAATTATGTAGCACTCCATTTGTTTCACATCAATCTCTCCTTGTGTTGTAGGGTACCTGCTCTACGCTGGCGTTCTGGCCAGGTCATATTTTTGATCCAGACTGTTCCCCCTTTTTCGTATCACCACACTGTCAAACAAGTGGCGTCTTCACTGATTGAGTGCATGGCTGAAACGACGTATTCTGCCGCTCAGATGTCCGAGAGCACTGTCACCATGGTCACGCAGACGCGTTAGAACTCAAAGCGTATTACAGTATACATGTATGGAACTCTGAAGGCAATCATGTTTTTTTAAATATCAGCCAGTCGGCTACTATCATTTCGACTTGGGAGTTAGACAAGGGGAAGTAGCCATGTAGGGGCGTGAGCCCACCTTTCGACATAATAATTATTATGATTTGACCCCGTTCAGTGAGCCCAAAGAAAAGCAATATTTCCTACCCCCTACTACACGGCGGATCAGGCTCTCTAAAACACAGCTACGCCGTGTGACTGTGCACTTTGCTGACTGCTAGCTTTACCGTGAAACATGATCAGTGGCAAGTACATGTATAGTGGTTAGTGTGACTGAAACGTATCCTGCAGCAGGCATGGCAAAGCAGTAGGTATCTTGACAGGGCCATGGCATCAGGATTTTACGCAGTGTGACCAAATGGGATGCTAGTACTTGACCCGAAGTGAACATTATTGACAAAAAACCATTTTGGTACAAAGTGGGAGGGTAAACGTTTTGGAGATAAGTTCCGGCCGGAGCAGGTGCTACGGCCCTGAATTTGTAGGTGTAGTGAAACCTGTCTAAGACGACCGCTCAAGGGACCTTCAAAACCTGGTCTCTGTTACCAGGTGGTCTCCTTATCCAAGGTTATTTGACTGGAAATAGCATTCCTTGGTGCTGGTTTCAGTGGTCTTCTTGGGCAGGTGGTCGCCTTATCCGAGTGGTCGCCTTGACAGGCTTTACTGTACAATGGCAGAACCGTACCACCGGGATTTCACGTAGTCAAGGCGGTGGTGTACTTGGCTCCATATTAATGAAAACCCGTTTTTCAGAAATCGGGTGGGACATTTTTTCTCCGGCCCGACCCTAGCAGGATTGGCCGGACCAGGTGCTACAGCCCTGAGTGTGATCCCGAAAGGGTCACTGAATCCCCACTTGCGAGGTGATCCATGGGTCTTACTCTGGGAATTGATCCGCGGTGCATAAATAGTCGACTTCTAGCCAGGAAAAAAAACATCAGCTAAGGTCAGGGGATTGATGTGAAATGTTCACTCCCCTACAATAACACACCGTGTTCTAATCATTCAGCTCAAAATGCAGCAGCGAGCAAATAGAAAGCTACGGCTGAGAAAATATTGTAGATTTTTTTTAGTAGGCCTGAGTTGTTTGGTGACCAAGTAAATACAATTCCTCAGCATCGGAGACGGCACTTGATGCTACGCACAGCCACACGGCTGCAACTACGAGCAGCTTCTCGAGACGGTATCATGACGCTGTCAGCATAGCTGGGGAAGGAGATATACGAATAGCCCCCACGCCTGGCGGCAGTGCATACTTGGCCATACTGTCGGCCATTAGTCTGCTATGTGAAGTGCCCACAGCTGACACGGATCATATGGATAAATACCTGGATGCACACGACACACAGGGTCAGGTAGAGTCTTGTCTCTTCCGCTTGTCTACAGTACTGTCGGGCGTCGAAGAGCGGATCGCCGAAGAACGGCCGGGTTAGAATTTCACCAAGCACAGCATACCAATGCATTATGGACGATGACTGAGCTGTGCATGGACTGTCATACATGATAATAAGAACGGTCTAGGCTAGGAGGCTGACCCCCCCCCCCCCCAGCTCTGTATGCTGACTGACGGTCGCTAAACCTGGTATGGAAACTCTCTACCCGAGCGCATTGCCGCTGGGTTCGGGGATCGGTTCAGGAAATGTGCTGTTAGCAGGGTCGGCGGTGACCTTCTGCTCCAAGGAGGCAAAGTTCAAGCCAGACACCGTCGTCTTGCAGAGTTCTTGAACTTCAAACAGGGCCGTGGATGGATACTGGTGCTCGGCGAAATCCAGACTCTGATCGTTCGCTGCCACTGCATACAGGGAGATTCTATGGTTGCCTGTGTCTAACCATCCCTCAGAGGTCTCTTCACACATGCCTGCTATGTTGACAGGGATGGTGAGATTGCGGGTGGATGCCGGCTGGTGCAGAATCATCTCGATCCTGGCCGGCTGGAGGCAGTCGGAGTTGCCGATCTTGAAGAACCAGCGGGTGGTGAAGTCGCCCGTCGACGCTGCTTGGATGCGAAGCGACGTTGAGTAGGTGATGCGCAGGACCGTGTGCGACTCCTTCTTCCTGAACGTCATCTGTGTTACCGGTCTACTAGTGCTGATGGCGGTGGTATTGAACTCACTCATGTACTGGAAGCCGAGGTATTGACGTGAGCAGGGAAGAAGGTACAGCTGAAACAGGCACAAACAAAGGCAAAAGCATGGAGTTGAACGGTTGTGGTTTCGAACGATCATGCAACAATGATATAGCCGATGATTGTATTGCAAAATCGTTTCCCTCCGTTCGAATAACATGAATGATGACCTAGGCAGAAAAGCACAGAGAGAGAGCCCTGAGCTTTCAAGGTCTCTCGTTGAGATGTCATGAACAAAATCAAGAGAACGTAGTGGTGGACAAAGAGATGACTATGATGGAAATGGAATGTCAATAAAACCTTCGTGAAATAACGATTCTTTTCATATGTCCTGTTTTTTTTTCAAGACATAACATGGGATTCGAACACGCACTATCGCCCTGCATGCATTTCCCCAATACACTTCACATACATACACATTCTTCCAAGTTGCTTCACTTTATGATCTTGCAGTTGAAAGGCCTATTTGAATAAGGTGGCCAGCTGTCTTTGATGGTACGGTACGGGATAGCACCAGGCATGCCGACGCCAGACAGAATCAAACAAAACGAAACAATTACCGAAATTTAAAAAGTGCTGTGGACCCTGGCTAGCGCTAGGCGTTACTGAATTTACGTCTAATACCTTTGGAAGTGCACTCGATTCTTCCACGGTGTTCAAACTCTATTGGATCATCTAGAAATACAGGATATGGCAAGGGGGTTGATTGGCAGGTGTCTGGCGAATGCGGCATAGATAACTCAGGAGCAAGACCATTCGACTCAGTGCCCAGAAGACTAGATGTACATCTCCGATGCAGAGTCTCCCTGGTGACTTCCGTCCCATTCAGACATCATACTTCCTTTACAAAGAGTATCAAAAATCTAAGATAGAAACGAACAAGGACATCTTCAATGGTTGGAACAAAGCCAGACAATTTAGGTCAAATACTCGTTGGTTTCATGGAAAAATGCAAACGGAAAAAGTCTGAAGACAAAATTTGACTCTCACCACCAGGACTCGAACCAGGGACCTTCCCTTGAGGCCAGCGCTGCTCTAACCACTGAGCTATGGTGAAGCTGTCATCCCAGCTGTCATCCCGGTGGAGACTGTTCAACATTTTCTTCAGACTTTGGTCACATCACAAAACACGGCTCTTCACTTACAAGTGCAGTGTCCAAGGTGCGCAGGTAGGTCTTCTTTACGAATTGCTGCCGTACACGTAACATTCTCACTGCTTTGATGACGTCGGTAAGTCTGCGCACTATTCGTGTGATTAGGTTCTCCTGTGCAGTGACCTTTGCCTGTAGCAACCGGAGTTCTTCACTTGCTTCACTATCCTCTGCAAGAGAGAGAGAGAGAGAGAGAGAGAGAGAGAGTGAGAGAGAGAGAGAGACACACACACATGCACATACACACACATACACACACACATACACACACACGCACTCACACACACACACACACACACACACACACACACACACACACACACACACACACACACTACTACTACTACTACGACTACTACTACTATAGCATGACTGCCCATTGGGCAATGTCACCCCCGGAGGGGGCCAGAGTTTGGAGTGCACCGTCATTGGCAGGACTTCTGGCACACTCACACACACACACACACACACGCACACACACACACACACACACACACGCACTCACACACACACACACACACACACACACACACACACACACAGACACATTGTTGTTGTACCCAATGTTGTTGTTCACAATGCGGACTGTACACGCATGACTGTACTGTCTATATATTTACTTCATCACAGTACCCTGTTATAAGGCACACACAGTGAAACCTGTGTAAGACGACCGCTCAACGGACCTTCGAAATGTGGTCTCTGTTGCCAGGTGGTCTCCTTATCCAGGGTCGTTTGACTGGAAAAGCATCCCTGTGTCCTGGTTGTAGTGGTCTTCTGGGACAGGTGGTCGCCTTGACAGGTTTTACTGTACAAGTCTGGAAACATGTGTAGGGGAGAGAGGGGAGTACCTATTCAAGCTTCGTCCACTGAAATATGTGTTTGCAAGGCCCTGTACCAAGCAGAATCCTGTATTGACCGGACAATTTTTCATGCACCAACGTGCTGTGGATCGAAAGTGCATCCCTGGATGAAGCGTAATCCTGTCATGTCAGGACAGTTTCCGCTGCACCAAGGGCATAGGGCAGGGTCTATTGTATAATTCTCAAATCATACAATATTCTTCGGATTGAGGGAAGGTTGCAGACGGGAAAATCCTAAATAAAAAATTGACTGCCACCACCAGGACTCTAACCAGGGACCCTCGCTTGTAGCCAGCGATGCTCTAACCACTGAGCTATGGTGTAGCCGTCATCCCAGCAGAGACCGTTCAACACTTTCTTCAGACTTCGTACCTCACACTTCCTGCGAATGCACACAGGCGGGTGAGATGCAGCCCTCACCGTAACCCACACACTTCACGTACAAAGTAGCACGAGGGGAGCCCCAAGTCATAAACTATTCATTGGCCTGACGGAAAGATGCAAACGGGTAAAGTCCTACAATGTCTAGACATCACCTATGTTGCACAGTACGCCCGTGTAGAAGTCAGTGCAGTTGCACGAGTAGCTCTGCTGTTGCTGTTGCTGCTGAGTGCTATGGTCCGGGTCACATGTACCACCATGTTGGCATTGTGCAAGGGCGCACGCAGCTGATTCGCGGTCTGAATGAAAAGCACACAAAAAAGCACGGAAAATCATTAGGGGTGAAACGATTAGTTCGAATATTCGAGTAATCGTTCGAAAATTTGAAACGAGCGAGTATTCGAAATTTTGCACTCGATCGGTTTATTTTATTTTATTTTTTAGTATTGCCATTCTATTTTTCAAAAGCTTTTTTACCGCTCGTCCACTGGTATGCATGCGTTATGCATGCTTTTGAGTCAATCTTTTTTGACTTGGACGATGCGATCACCACGGCAAGTAACGCTAGTTAGCTATGAGATATGAAAGTACTGATGAGAATCGTTACTTTACACTCTGTACAAGATGTTGGCGACTTTTGTTCTATGTTCACAGATAATTTCTTCCGAATTGGTCGAGAGCTCACAAGTCTAGCACTTTTGAATTTTTGATAACATACTCGAAATAATCGGATACTCGATCGAATATTATGAATGAGTGATCGATTGGTCAAAATAGATACTCGTTTTTTTCTTGCTGTTGCTGCTGTCCCCGCAGAGGCTGTTTGTTGTTGCTGTGTGCGTGTGTATGTGGGTGTGCATGTGACTGTGCATGTGACTGAGGTGTGTTAGGGGTGCGGGCACGTATGGTGTGGCTGCACACAGGAGTGAGAAAGAGAGTAAAAAAGAATGGTGCAATTCCAGCACAAATTGCTATGGCTTCTGCTGTAGCATCGCTCTCATCGCCTCTGGCGATGGGCGTCAAATGGTCAAATGGCCAATGGTGCGTGTATGTGTGTGCATGTGCGTATCTGGATTCAGCTTCAAAAATATATCTTACATAAAGCGTCTTACATAAACGATATATTGAATTTCCCTTGACATCATCTCACAGTAATAATTCATACTTAGACATCGCTGCAGACTATCAGCGACTGCAGCTGGGGACAGCAGCACCTGAGCCAGGGTGTGATTGGAAGAGTTCAGGATGTGTTCCTCGGTCCAGTTGCTCCTGGCAAGGTCATCTTCCATCCGGTACGCCGCGGTCGGACTAACACCAATCGTCACCAGCACCCAGTGCATGCAGGATGGCGGTGGTGGTCCTTGGGTCGGCGGGCTCGTAGTGCCAAGGCCTGATGAACCTGGCAGAAACAGATAGTTCCGCAGGAAAAAGCAGGGAACACAGGGATTAAAACATGTTTGTTCGAGTTCTGGTGGTGTTGGCAGTCAATTGTTTCTTTGCTGATTATAGCATTCAAGAGAACAATCGATGCAGACATGGCCACACAATTATTGCACGATTATTCCAAAATATAGATTTTCGTGTTCCGCTCGTCAGTGGAGAATATCAGAAACTTTTTCTTTTCTCTTTTTCATTCTCCCTACCTGATGAATGAATGGACTAGTGTTTTAACTTTTCCGGCTTCGGGCCCCTCAATCCAATGATGAAATAGAGTCTTTTTCAATATGGCAATCAAGAGTACGAACTGTTCGGCAACCATGCTTTATTGCAATAGGAACAAACATCCAATACACCACACCACCACATTGCGCTCTTGGCCGATGGTGATGGTGATGGCGAGTGCAGAGTTTGGATCGGCCAAGAGCGCAATGTGGTGGTGTGGTGTACTGGATTCCACAATGGCCCGGTTGTCGCTACTTCTTAGCAACAAACATGCGAGAGAAATGCGAAAGTGAAATATACATGAAAAACATGATTTTTGCACAGTTAGTACTACTGATTGTTGCTGTCTCCGAAACGCTTGTTTAGAGTCTTTTTCAAAGATCTTTTCTGACGTTTCACACGGCTACCGCCGTGGCCAAAGCAATCCGACCCGCGAGTCAACACGCAGTGCATCTTGCACGGTCCAAAACCCCATCCGACAGCATAGCAAGGGACAAAGAGCCTTGGTGCTGCTTTCGGCTTGCGGATCGGATATTTCTGGCTACAACTGTAGATTTGTTATTATCTCTCAGTCTGCCAGGTATGCAGGATACCTCCCTCGTTTGAAAATGTTTCAATCATATTTTACAAGCTGAACTGCACAGCAAGGCAAATGCACAAACCTGGTGTCTGCGAGTAACGTTATCCACAGTGTCGGAAAGGTTCACCCTCCCCCCCCCCCCCCGCCCCCCTCACCCCTCCTGGCCTTTGGGTTGGTCACTTCTTTTCAGGCCCTTTCGCAGATGAGTAGTGTCTTTAACTTTCAAAGTCCGATACATACGTGTACGATGGGACTCTTTCCAAAATGATTTGTGAGGTACCTCTGGTTTAATTTGTATCATGAAAATAATATACACGGTTCGCTTGAGACTCGGTAAGACTGAGTTTTCAGCATCCGTAGGAACGCTACCACCCTGCAAAGATCTAAGGCACAGATGCAGCTCCTAAAGCGGTTCGAGGTGAGTAGATCAGCCTGCCAGCAAAGTGGTCAAAGACCGAAAATCCCATTCACTGCATCCATGTTTCCTCGTGCCAGGCCACGAGCTCCCAATTCTCTGTACGTCGCAGCATGGCTGGAAAAATCCTTCCGCTTCCAAGCAGGACTGGAACCTGGTACCATCTTTTTCTCAACCGTGGTCTTAGACCATCCCACTATGCTTGCCCGCCATGAAGCAATCATTACATTTTGCAAGCTTATTCTGGTCTAGTTCCGGACCACAGAGCACACAAGGAATATCCCTTGTGTGTAAAACTTGCATGAACTCTTGATGTGTAAGGGTGACTGCTGAATGCCATGCCTCGGAGAACCAGCCAGCCCCCCCCCCCCCTCTTTTTGACGCAAAGCAGTACTTTCCTACTGTGCACGGCTGATGCCAATCATAATCACTTTTGAATTAGACTTCCAAGAACCTCCTCAAATTAACCCTGTGCTGCATCCTTGGGTTCATGCTTCAATTCAATTCCAGGGGCTCCATTGTCATAAGGCATTATGCCTGTTTTTACTTCCACTATAAATAAAGTATACAGCAAGTTCCTGTCACTCTCAGACGTCTTCGCCGTGACCAATCAGCTGCTTCATGTACTCAGAGCTGGTCTGATCACCAGTGGACAAAGTATAAGAGAAACGTCTTTTTGAAATCCGCGAATCATACGGTGAAGAGTTGAACAGAGTTCAACTCTTCGATCGAGCCGAGTCCTGGTGGTGACCGTCAATATTTTCTTCAGACTTTTCGTGTATGCATCTTTCCCTCAAACGAAAGAAGATTCGTTACTGATCGTTAGACTTCCGTCGCTTCGCGATTTGTACAATAGTGCGGGTGCGTTCCTGTTCCAACTTCCTGGCGCTCACACATTTAGTGCCATCAATCGGCGTCAATATCATGAGCGTCCCATCGCGCTCCTTTGAATGTGAATCAGGCTTTAGAGCTACAGGTATGCGGTATCACTACATTCTTATGCCTCGCTCACAACTTGACCAATTTTTCGGCGATGCTCCCACGCCGACACCGACTTGAAATCGGTCGACTGTGTCGGAGAGACTCGGACTACCTCGACACACACAACTTTCTGTAAACATGCGCGACCACATCACCCACATCAGGCGTTTTCCGTGCCGATGTTGAGAATTTTTTTGTACGATTCAATTTCGGCCGAAAAATACGGCTAGTGCACTAGTGTGAACCAGGCATAGCCATAATAATGTTCATACCGACGGCAACAGAACGCTCGAGGCACTGCCAGGCATCATTTTAAAACCCCCCTCCCCGGTTACTTCCCCAGCCCTTACCTTCGCAACCATGAGGTGTTGAACAGATAGCGACCAGAGCGACATGGAGTAGCAGGGACAATACTGACTTCGCCATCTTTGCCTACGACCAAAAATTCGTACTTCTTCGCGCCAGGCAGTCGAGCAAAACGAAAACACAACAACTGCGTTGGAAACTTCCAATACTAGCGACTGAGCTAGCTACCTGTATAACGTGAACAGGCTATCAGACTGCAAACAACGAGTGGATAGAAGTAGAGTAGCGTAGCTCAGTTGTTGTTCCGATTTCTCGGGTGAAAAAGCGGCTGCCTTTTTTCTGAAATTTACGTTCTAGCGTCGCTGCCTTCGACATTCACACGGCTACATGCACCCTGCATTCTGTGGCTGTGCTACCCGCACAGCTGGAAATCACATACATGTATGATGCAAGTACACGTAAGTACACTGCATGCTGCTCTGTGAAATCCAATCCGGCTCGCTGGGCACGGTGCTGCGCAGTCTGATGAAGAGAATGAGGATGAAGATAGCTACATAATTGTACTGTAGCTCCCACTAGCACGAACAGCATTACTTGTGGGTTCAACACTACTCACTAGACAACTGGTGATACTCACAGCATTAGTACGTGCTCAAGTACAACACAGTCATGTCATGTGTTAGTGTTACTGGTAATACTACAGAAGAATGACAATGTAGCCCCATCCGGCCATCGATCATGGCCCAGTTGATCTAATCCGACAATACGACGTTACAGTGCTGTGAACTGAGTGAACGTGATACATAAAAATAATGACATGCCCGTGTCTCCCAGTGTTCCTGACCTCAGTGTAGTTGACCTCAGAACTCCCCACTACTGTCCGCCACAGAGTGCAGTACGCAGTGTGTTCCCTGCTAGCTGACGTGCAATCAAGATAAAGGTCTTTTTGGCATTACAATGACTACAGTACAGTCATGTAGGTCCCATCTCACAAGCAATACAATGATTGTCATGTCACATTGCGCTGAAGCTCCGATATTACCATGAACATACACAATACTATTACTACTACAGACAGTGTGTGTGCCATGTGAACATGATAGGGCTGACCAGGATGATGGGGATACTGATAGATGTGTGCAGTACAGCTGTCACCTGCACTAACGTTTCCAGGACCATCACTCTCAGCAGGCCCAGTGTCAACCCCAGTGACACTCAGAAACACACTGACTTAGCAGCAGCACCACCACCACGAGCAGCAACAGCATCACCAGCAACAGCATCACCAGCAACAGCAGCAGCAGCAGCAGAAGCAGCACCAGCAGCAGCAGCACCACCACCACCAGCAGCTTAACCACCAGCAGCAGCATCACCAGCAGCACCAGCACCACTACCAGCATCAAAAGACTAAGTAGCAGATTCACCAGCAGCAGCACCACTACCACCAGCAGCAGCAGCACCATCAGCAGCAGAAGCAGCAGCACCACCACCACTAGCAGCAGCAGCAGCAGCACCACCACCACCACCACCATCAGGGGATGAAATGCACACGCACATTAACTACCTTTATCTTTTACTCTGCCCATGATGCTACATTGGGGAAAAGAGTAAAGAAAGCAATTGTATCAGAATGTCTGCGTAGGCAATTCTGGCCAAGTTCACATCCGCTTCTGGTTAGAAGTTAGAAAGAGTATAGCAGCAACAGAAATTAAGCGTGAGAAAAGCATTGTCCATGAAGAGGAGGCAGCAGCATTGGGCATTGTAGAGAAGACTTTAGTTATTACTTGTAGTCACAACGTTTCTCCGACCAACTGAAACATGGTGCAATAGAGCGCCATCAGCAGAACGAGATTTCCTTAGCAATCCACATGATCCTTTTTCTGTTAGCTGTTTTCACCCTACTCTAGCTACAGACCATCGGCATGAAAGAGTCCCTGCAAGCCAGTAGATATCAACAGAAAATCGCAATAGCTGATAGTGTGCAGTGGGAAAGTTGCAAGGTCGGCTGGGGAGGGTGCTTTCCCAGATCAGCTTACAGCGTGTTTAAAGCATGGTGGTTGAAGAGGAACATACAGTTGCTGTAGAGAGAGAGAGAGCACTCAGAGGTAGTCCATTCTTAGACTAAGAGTTGTGCTTAAAGCATGGTGGTTGAAGAGGAACATACAGTTGCTGTAGAGAGAGAGAGAGCGCTCAGAGGTAGTCCATTCTTAGACTAAGAGTTGTGCGAGAATTCCGTGAAATGAAGAAAAGCCTGAACAATCATGTCACATCAGTTTCAAATCAAGTTCAATGTCCAGCAGTCCTAGATAGTACACACTGACAATGCGCCTGTGTCACACACACACACACGCACACACACGCACGCACATGCGCGCACGCACACACACACACACACACACACACACACACACACACACATACACACACATTTTCAAAGATATGTATGAAGGCCTGTATGACATTATGTATGAAGGCCCATGGATGCATGGAAAATTTCCAATCATTTTCTACTTCTTCAGTTTTAGAAAAAAGTAAAACGGACGCCAGCTCAAATTGCAAGAAGTTCAAGGTCATTTTGTGGCTGCCCCACAGTGGTTTGTTCTGTGGTGAGGCGCGCGTGTGTGTGTGTGTGTGTGGTGGTGGTGGTGGTGGTGGTGGTGGTGGTGGTGGTGGTGGTGGTGGTGGTGGTGGTGGTGGTGGTGGTGGTGGTGGTGGTGGTGGTGGTGGTGGTGGTGGTGGTGGTGGTGGTGGTGGTGGTGGTGGTGGTGGTGGTGGTGGTGGTGGTGGTGGTGGTGGTGGTGGTGGTGGTGGTGGTGGTGGTGGTGGTGGTGGTGGTGGGGTGTATAAGCGCATGTGTAGGCGTGTGTGCAGGCATGCGAGTGAGAAAGGCATTGACATGCGGACGGCCGGGGGTAATCAACACGCACAAACCGGACGTACCAGGGTGCAGGCATTGACTTACGGACAATGCAAAGATTACCATTTCATCAGCTACCACACAGCAGACACGCATACTCGCATACACTTTTTCTCTTTTTCTGTTCTTTCTCTTCTGCTGTTACTCCTTGTTCGTGTTTTCACTTAACGTTCATACCTTCAAAGTAGTGAAAAGACTCTGGGTTAAACAGCAAATACACATACTCGTAGGGATCGCAGTCTCTCCTCATCCGGGGGTGACACGCTCTGTCTCCATACATCGAACCCTCCATCTTACAGCTGTGCATTGCACCCACGTAGACTGGGGCCATGTGCTGCTGTGCGCCACCAGTGTGGGGATATCCCGTCCCACACAACGGCAATGCTCCGTCTCCATACAATGGACCATCAGTCTAGCAGCTGTGCACGTAGACAGGGGCTACGTACTGTTGTTGTGTGTTATGAGCATGGGAGAAATCCCGTACCGCACCATGACAACATGGGCACGTAGCACGACATCTGGCAGTCCTTAAAGCTGGTTCGTGACGTATTGCATACTCGGCTACTCGAGACGCCTGGCTATGCCTCTCGGTCCTCTGGGCAGTCTCTGCACACAGACCATGCTTCTCTTAAGGCACACCATGACATTAGTGGACTGTAGCTTGTACTGTCCATGCCCTGACGAGGTAGGCGCGGACGCATGGCATGGTCAGTTACTGCCTTGGAACGACTGCAGTCTGCCTGGCCGGACCTCCATCGTTCTGCTTGGCACGCTTCCTCTCCGAGACTCCTGACGATGTGCGTTTTGACATCCCGTGGAAAGACTCCAATGTTTCGCAACTTGCTGTCCCGTGTTCGGATTTCCGACATTCTGTCTGCGAAGAACAGATTGTTGTGTCGGACGTACTGTTCTGGATTGCCATCAAGGAGTGTCTTTAGCTGTCATTTGGCTGGATGCGATGTTGTGCAGTATCAGCATGGCGGACTCCGGCTCCACACGTGGCATCAGCAGTCTCACAGCTATGCATAGCACCCATCGGTGTACACTGGGACGTGTTGCTGGGTATCAGAAGAGTGTGGGGAAATCCCCTCAACGGAATGACAATAACGTACGTACGTAGCATGGTGTACAACATTACTAATTCCCATTTCAAAGTAGTGTATACGGCCGGGTCCCTGAAGAACCTCGACTGTGCTTCTCAGTCCGTTGGTCGGTCTCTTCAGACGGAGCATGCGGCTCTCCATGCACATCATGCCAGTAGCGGTTTGTAATGACTATGAGCTGACAGCGTGAACCCATCAATGATCAGCTGCTTTCCTGGGAATGCCAGTTGCTTGCCTGGCTGGATCTCCCTCGATCTGCATAACATACTTCCTCTCCGAGACTGCTGGCGATATGTGTGTTGACATCAGTTGGAAACTAGGCAACTTGCGTGTTTTGTTATCAGGTGGAAACTAGGCAACTAGTGTGTTTTGACATCAGATGGAAAACTAGGCAACTAGTGTGTTTTGACATCAGATGGAAAACTAGGCGACTTGTGTGTTTGACATCAGGCGTCTTGTGCGTTTTGATATCAGTCGGAAAACTAGGCGATATGTGTGTTGACATCAGTTGGGAACTAAGCAACTAGTGTGTTTTGACATCAGTAGGAAACAAGGTGACTTGGTGTCCCGTGTCGGATTCCGATATGCTGTCTGGGAGCCGATTGTTGTGTCCAATATGCTGGTTTGGTAATCCGTTTAACCGCCACGTTGCTGCACATACAGTATTATCAACATGACAGATTCTGTCTCCATACGTGGCATCATCAGTCTTACAGCAGCTGTGCATACCATCCATGTAGACTGAGGGCCACATCTGCACCACCAGTGTGGGGGATGGGAGGGAGGGGGGGGGGGGGGGGATCCCACGACGCCTGATGGCAATGCCGCTATACCGCGATAAAGGGCACCGGTAGTCTTCTTACAGCAGCTGTGCAGAGCACGCACGTACAATGGGACAATGCGGGTTGTTGTGTGTCGGCACGTCACTCTGGAAACATTCTTTGCCAAGCGATGGCAGTAACATGCGCATACAAAGCATGGCATATGGCAGCACTCAATCTCAGCTCAACGCATTGCAAAGTCAGGAAATCAAGATGCTCCGGTGTGTGTGTCCTCAGTCTGTCGGTCAGTCTCTCCACACAGCAGGCCAAGAATGCAGCATCTCAAGCCGTCACTTTGCTGGACAGAACGTAGTTCAGCAGCAGCATGACGGGACGAAGAAGGATGGTTCTGTAGAGTCAAGTCTTCATCCAGTACACAGACGCTTTACACAGAAACACTGCGGGACCAGTTGGTTGGCAAATATATACACTATCCGTTAGTAAGTCGGTCGAAGTGACTGCCAAGTATCTGCTAAGAGTAAGGACAATGAGAGCGCTATGCTCTGCTTAGACAGATCTCCGCTGGAGTGCCGAAGTCAGCAGCACAGGCAATAGACCTTCCCAAACATTCAGCACCAAGACATGGTTGGTGACCACCAGGATTCTATAACTTGGGCAACTGTACTTCACTTGAACTTGGGCAATTGTTCCACACTATCACTCAACTCTGGTTCAGGGTTGATTTCTTTGAGGACTAAGCAACTTAGGCATTTTTCTCCTTCTATTCTGTATTGGCGCATGGTTGGGATCTTCATTTCTCACCGGATCCTCCCCCGAGCCGGCTGGTGTTTCCGCATAGGGATGTTCTGCAGCCTGTGGATGCCCAGCAGCCGGGTGGTTGTGTGGAGCAGTGCCAGTCTTATGCCCCGTTGGAGTTGAATAATGGCGGGAGGCACTCTCGTCTGGGCAATCATCCCTGGCTGGCACACTACTATTGGGTGACTCAGCATGGCCGTGTTGTGAGGTATGCATCCGCTGCACACCGGCAGCAGTTTCAGTGCAGTCCAGTGAAGGAGTGCTCTCTGTGGACATGTTGACATACGCGTTGTTCCGGCATGGCAACGTGTCTGGCTGGCCAATGTCTTGTGGCTCAGTTGGCGTTGGCTCAGTGGAGGACGCTGGCTGATGTTTGTCTATTTGTTCAGGCGGGACTGGACTGGCTTGTCTGGCATGTTGGACACTGTGTGGAGATTCAACCAATGATGACGAGGCTGGCTGGAAAGAATCCGGCTCGTCGCGCTCAGAAGATCCTGACGAGCGAGCCGGCTCACTTCCGGCGGGCTTCTCGGAGCCGTCCACGGAAAGGCTTAGGCTGTACGGCATCGATGGGTGTTCAGGACTGGCCACCGTAGGGTTACCAGGAGGAAGTTGGACTTCATACTGCTCTGTGCAGCTCACGTTGGGCAAGACCAACCTCAGTTGCTCCAGCAGGTACGTGAACGTAATGGAGCGGCTCTCACGGAAACATTCCTCCAGGATAGAAGTGCTGCAGACATAAGACACAAGAACCGAAGTACACACGCAAACAATAGGATTGAGATCCATTATGGCATGCTTTGTGACGTGTAGACGCTGAAAAGTTAAGGTCGGCAGAGCAGCCTGGCCCCGCCACCACTTCTCCTGCCGATTCAGGAATACAGTGGACTTTTGTATAATAGAACGACGGTATGGTGCACCAATAACCAATGGCTTGTCCACCAACTCTATGGTATGCATGGATTACACTCAATCTGCGGACAGAACTATTTCGTACTTTGTGGAGTAAAAAACCTCGGGGGACCTCGGTCTTTTACTCAGTCTATATATCCTGTATAGAACAACTATGAGGTCTGTAATCTACATATCGTATCCTCCACGCAAACGTTTCTCTTCATATACAACATATATTTGTAAACTAGTCAAAAGTTAAGTATTACATGTATACTATAGCCTATAACGCATTGTACGGCATTGCAAGATCAAGGTCATTGTTTAAACTAGGTTCAGCATCGGTAGCATAGTGGCTGGGTGGTAAGGAAGAGTGACTGAGGTTCACATGGTTGTGGGTTCAAATCTCCTGAAATCCCCTCTTGTGCTCAAAATTTCTTCTTTTAAGTGGGACAGAAATGTTCAAGTCCAAGAGGTAGAGGAGTCAAATTAATTGCGTACATGTATTTGACTGAGCAGTCAGGTCAAATACGCGATATATTCGACCGCTTAGGTATCCGGGAAATCAGTAGGGTCAAATACTAAGAAGGCGATACATTCTATTAGCAGGCTGCGGAGCACTTGCATGATCTAGGGATGAAACGATCATCCAGTTCTCCTTATCGATTACTGTTCATTATAAACGATCGAGTTATCATAAAACGAGTATGCTGGATATGCATGACGTATTAAACATTAATGATTTTGGTCTCTGCAACATGATAATAGTGAATGAATGACTTGTGCACACTGGATCCCAAAGGTGCGAAGGTGACTAGAAAAATGGTGTGAATTTTATCACCTTGGATGACGCGGGGGGGGGGGGGGGGGCAGTGCTGTGGTTGACAATGCAGTGCAGACAGTGTGACTTAGCTAGTACTATGCACATGTATACTGCACAAGTACAAGTAGTACATGCTGTACTCAATAGCAGCATAACCAGCAGCGATCATAGAGCTAAGGAGTAAGTTCCCAGTAATCCGTGTAATCGTTTCATCCCTACTTGCATCACTAGGTACGCCAGGTCGGCATGGACACATGTACTTCAGGACCAAACTACTGGAGCCAGAAAATGAACACACTGAAATTCCAGATGATTCGGGTATACACATCAAACAAACACAGAGAGAGAGAGAGAGAGAGAGAGAGAGAGAGAGAGAGAGAGAGAGAGAGAGAGAGAGAGAGAGAGAGGCAAACAGACAGACAACAAACACACACACACACATGCTAAGTATGTACACTCGCACATTCACACTTTCACTCATGCATGTACGCACGCACGCACCCACGCGCACCCTCCCCCCCCCCCCCCCCCTCCACACACACCTACACACCCACCCACACACACATGTACACATATTTATACACAACTTGAATCTGTGCGAGAGTTCCTTGCGCTTACATTCCAGGCGGTGCCGAGAGTGGTGCTTTGAGGCGTCTTCTCTGGTGGAGAATTCGGCGTACCTCCCTATTGGAGCAATCACTCCCATAAGGCATCCTGCCTAGTGTGAATATTGACCAGACCGTGGTGCCGTACGACCACTGCAAACACACAAGTCAACAGTCGAGTTGCAAAACGTGACAAGAGACAAATTGGAGAAACAAAATGTCATGGTTCGTGTGAGGCTCAGCTGGAGAAAAAAAAAGTTCACGGTTCGCGTGAGACTCGGCTGGAAGCCCAGTTTTCCGCATCCATCGTGGGAACGCCACTACCCTCTAGGATCAAAGGCGCAGCTGCAACAAAATTAGGTTAGGAGTAATTTCGAGGCATCTTGCAGCTTCATCTGTAGAAAGTAGTTGGGTAGACACACCCATCTCCTGAACACTGAACAGGACCGAACCGATTCTTACTGTACAAATATTGTGGGCAATAACGCCATGCATACGGTCAATACCGTAGTGCCCGTACCGTGTCCGACGCCACCTTAAATAGAGAAAAGGACCAAGGAACTACAAGTTACGCTATAATGTCCACTGACACCACCAGTTACTTGACAATCAGCTCATGCAGTTCCCTGGTCCTTTTCTCTATTACAAATTGATCACTGACTCTACATCCGAGTCTACAGAGGTTCTGCGAATGATTTCTCAGCAGATTCGCTCGCGGGCGCAAAATGTACAGCGTGGGTGAGCGGATTTGCTTATGGGCGCTATGTATGTAATGAGAGTCGCTAGCGTTAGTGCAAGTACAGCTCTGTGCAATTCTCCAAAGAATCTCGAATGGTGATGTATTCGAATAGCCTCTAAAGCACATTGTATGCTCCAGTGTTTCTGGTAATGACGTTACAGTGTAGTTCTCTTCTCCTCGTAAACTCTATTCTCAAAATTACCTCTCTGCGATCATTCATGACTCCTGATGTTTGCAGGAGGACAGACACGGCCGGACTGCTTGCATCCCCGCTCATGTCACTCATGACACTGCATCACTGTCTTGAGAAAGTGCTTGGCAAAAGGAGAGTTTATCCAGAGCAGCTTATACTAGTAGTGCTGCAGTTAGCTTTTCTCCAACTGCTCCCAGCCCCGTGCCATCTCCACACTTATACAATGGGACGACGATAACTACATTTAGAAAGATTGTTTATTACAAGACGACTACGGAAACGCCACTAGACATGACGAACTCAAGACGAAGACTGCTTTTCACATCACAGCAACACACGCATGCACCAACACCACGTACACACAACGTACACAAAATAACACACTACAACAGGAGCAGCGAAGGGACAGGAGGAGCAGAGAGTACACTCACTCAATCTCACTAGAACGCTTGAATGCTAGTACAGAACACACGTTCTCGTGTGAGTAGCCGAGTGAAGCAATCCGATCGCCACGGCATCTGTCTAAAAAGTAAATGCCATGTGAATGAGATGGAAGTGGAAGGTGAATTCATTGTGTGTGTGTGTGTGTGTGTGTGTGTGTGTGTGTGTGTGTGTGTGTGTGTGTGTGTGTGTGTGTGCGTGTGTTTGTGTGCGTGTGCGCGCGTGTGCGTGTGTGTGTGTGTGTGTGTTTGTGTGCTTTTGTGTGTAGCCCAAACCAATGCTGATTCTCCCCCTTGTAAGGACATACAAATTCCTATCAAAATGTTTGCGATAGCAGGTACAACAGCAGAACCATGCACGATCGGTATACACATGTCAAACCAGTCGGAGACATGTTTTGACATTGCACTTAGGGGCTTTAGAATCTGTTATTGCAAGAGATTCAGCGGCGGTAGGCGAATGTCAAAGAAACATCTGGAAGATCCTTTCAATAAGAGTGCAATACCCTCCACCGGTAGCATTCGCGCGAGGCTACGTACGCCAATAGCTCACCAGGTCACGTGACACGACCCAGCCTATGCTATTCAAAGAAAAGCCTTTGTGTCTCCCCCCCCCCACATTTATCACAGTGCCGCACATGTACTAGTTGTTACTTGCAAAGGATGAAACGAAATCATACAGGACTGCACGGTCGTCATAATGATGTCGTGAGGTTTCGGTGACAGCTCGTCACCTTCCAAAATTAGCAAGGAAAGTTCGTTCACGCTGAGACATACCGCTCCCCATGGACTCCTTAAGGAATATCGAGCCACTTTGAGTGCACCCAGTACCTCCCCTTTTCTCCTTGTTGAAAGTGGCTCGATATTCCTTAAGAAGTGGAAATAGCCTTCTCCCCTGGCCCCCGCCAAACAACAGCACACCGTTCGGTTAGTTTCAATACTAGTATATACTTCTCAATAATAAACGGCGAGGGCGCAGGAGGAGAAAGACGAAAAGACTAGACCCAGGCAAAACGACGACGAGAAAAGACACGGAGAAACAACAAAGAACAAGCCGTAATAAAGCGACGAAAAATTGGGACGACCAATCAGGAACTTATATGTACAGAACACATGACCAAGACAACCAGACCACGGACGAATCACACATAACTCTCATTCCCAGACCAAACTAGCACTGCGCATGTACAGCATTCACTTGACAGTCATTCTCACACAGATGGAAGCAGATTCTCACACTCTGACAACGCGTACTCTTGCATGCACCACATACCATAAACGTCACACATCACACCATGCTCGCACGTACACTTACACCATATCATTATGACATCAGACACTGGACTCTACGAGATAAGAACCAAATACAACAACATGCGTAAAGAATAGTCGAACGGAATTTCGCAACAAGTAGAAAGCTGTCCTAGTCATGCGTGTGACATTGCAAAAAGGTCAATGCTGCCGGTGCCCTCGTCTGTACATCTCCATGTTTCCGCAGCCGCCGGCCTTTGACAACATTGAATACCATACCGGCATTCCTGAACTGCTATCCACTGCCTTCAAAACACCATAATGGCAAAGCTAGACGCTTGGGTCGAAGCGAGCTCTGGTTGGACTGTAACGCCTGTGAAAACTGCACACCTCGACATCGCAAAGTATTGCCCGATGCGAATGTCATCATAGCTTCCACTTACGAAGAAGTTGATCAGCTCGAAGGCTATTATCAATGTGAAAAACGATGACGACCGGTGTTTGAAGTGGACCATTTTATCAGCTCTACACCCTGCTGAGCAGCTCTAGACCCTGTTGAGCATAACGCAGAGCGGGCTGATAAGTATGTTCGGCATGCACAGAGTCTGAATTTTGGAGATGTTGACTTCCCGGCATCTCTGGAAGATGTCTACAAGGTCGAGAAAGCGAATGCCCTGCCCTGTACATCAATGTTTTTTTGGATTGGAGGATAATCCTATATCCCCGATAAAGTTATCAGGAGAAAAGAGCGCCATCAATCGGCCGGTTGTACATGATGGCTTTTTCAGCCATTACTGTTGGATAAAGAACTTCAACGCCCTGTGCTATAGGCAGACGAAGGGCAAGGCAAGAAGCTATTTCTGCATGAGATGCCTTTCCGGACACTGCCGCGTACTTACTCAGAAAGAGTCACCGGTCCAACTGCCTGCATGCCAGACTGGCAACAATTGAAATGCCCAAAGCAGGTGAACAACTCCGCATCGAAGAGATTCGGAGTAAGATAAAGAAACCATAGGTAATATACGCAGTTACAGAGTTGCACTCCTAGCACTCACAGTGCATTCCAGCGCTGATGCTGTCTCCTTTTAAAACCCTTTATGTACCAGCCATCTATAGTCTGTTTCAAAAAGATTTACAATCAGGTTTGGGTCTTAAAAAGTATGAAGATAAGGGAAATTTGGACAACAAAGTACATAGAATGGCTTGTTAGGACACGGCAAATTGTTCTGTGAAGGTTTCGGAACAATTGGACCAACCGTTAAGGAGTTAGAATTTCGGCCAGGTTTCCGGCCTTTTCCCATGGTTTACAATTTGCCCAGGAAGCCAGTATCGATTTTTTATCAAAACCCACGATTTATCCTTTCCTTTTTGGCCTTGTGGTTATGAATGCTGTCTGCTGACCATGAAGTTGTGAGATAGCTTTGCCAAGTCATGGCCTTGGGAATGAGTCCGTGTCGATGTCGTTTTCGTCACACGGTGAGTAAATTGCATCGCAGCTCAAAGAAACTATTTTGGTCACAAAACGGATTGGGACACATGCCGCTCGTCAACATTTACAACACTTTCGTTTCGACATGTCCTCTCTGACTCCATTATCGATACGAGGAAGAACTCGTTTGTTGTAAACCAGACGTACGTCCATGACTGTGTCAACGTGAGTGAGTTGTCATTTTTCCTGCTTTCGCGCGGAATATTTCTTCGAGTTCACAGTGAGTTTTTCCAGGCAGCGCTCGAGTGCTCATACGGTAAGACGCCAAACTCCGCGGGCGATCGCCAGGGTTGTAAATCTTTATGAAACGGACTGTAATGTATGTA